GAGAGGGATTTTCCTGAGAAGGAGGGTGGATGCAGGAATGAGGGAGGCTGGAGGCTAGTTCCGACTCTGTCCCTTATCCACACAGTGTAGGCACGGACTAGGTCCTCAATAAATGTTGGTTGGATGGATGGATGGATGAATGGATGAATGGATGAATGGGCGGGTGGATGGATGGATGGATGGATGAATGAGTGGATGGATGAATGGGTGGATAGATGAATGGGTGGATGAATAGGACTTAATCCCGAGAACACTAATCTCAGAGGAAAATTACTGGCTCATCATGGTTCTGAGCTCAGAGTCATCCAGGCCAACTCTACCTCCACTCCCTCCTGGCTGCCCCAAGTCCAAGGCTCTCCAGGGAGAGGGAGTGTCTTAGTTCAGAGACATTTGATGTGTCTGTGTTCCAAGACAAGCCACATGCTGCCTGGCTCCTCTGTGGCTTATGACCTCCCACAATGCCTGGCACAATACGTTGTGCCTATGACACGTGAGCAAACAGACATGGAGAAGGAAGCCTGCAGGCTTTATCAAAATCCCCGGTGTCCCGGAGTTAGGTGGTCAGGATGCCATCGAATCACAGGAACCGGTAGATGATTGTCATCCGACAGATGGAGGTGCTGAGGCCCAGGAGACCACCGCTAGGAAGGGATGGGGAGGCCTGGGCCTGAGCCGGGTCCGCTGGTCCCCAGGTCGCTGCTGTTCAGCCATGTCCGCTGCCCTCGGGGGCCTCAGGACAAGAGCTGCGCCTTCAGGTGAGGAGAGAATAGCAGGGCTAGTATTTCTTGAGCATTTACTATATGCCAGAGTTTCTAGGTGTTATCTTATTTATCCTTCCTGAACCATCAAGGTGCCACCAGAGAAATAGAACCAGAAGAGAGAGAGAGAGAGAGAGAGAGAGAGAGAGAGAGAGAGAGAGAGAGAGAGAGAGAGAGAATAATCTATTTGGGCAAATCTGAAACCTGCGGGCAGGCTGTTAGGAAGGGCAGGTTGGACACTCAAATGTCTTCTTCCCTAGAGAAACCTCAGTTCTGCTCTGACAGCCTTTCTGCTGATTGGACCAGGCCCAGCAGGTGACCCAGGACCGTCTCCTGTGCAGCGTCAAGACCGTAGGTGTTAACCACACCTTCGCAGCAACCCCACCTGTGCTGTTTGGTTGAATGACTGGGCACCAGAGTCCAGCCACGTTGGCACATTCTGACCTCACGCTGCCCAGAAGCCTCAAAGGCAGGTCCGACGTCGCTTCATTTAGGGTGGGAAGGCTGCTGGTGGGGAAAGAACCAGGTTTAAACAGGGCCGGGCACCTCCAGACCCAAGTCCTTGCCACCTCACGGTTGGTCTTGGCACCCTCCTCAGTCGGCTGCCCCAGGGCAGGGGGAACGGAGGCAGGAATAACCCAAGTCAGAGGTCAGAACTGAAAGAGTCCATTTTAGATCCAACGACCTTTTCCCTACAGAACAGAGAAAGAACGTGGAACATGGGCCACGTGGCTAAGGCAGGGCCAAGCTCCAATGTTCGAGGAGCAGACAGAAGCCAGTGCGGGGGCTGGTAAGGGAGGGGACCGCGGGAACAGATGAAGCCAGAGGGGCGGCAGGGGCCAGGCATCCAGGGCCTCGGCCACCGTAGTTATTATTGTTACAGAGATGTGTTAGAAGTTGTGAGTATCCTTTGGCAGCGAGCTAGAGGGGTCCATAGAGGCAGAGGAGGGCGCATGGGCACTGAGCACTGTGCCCGGGGGCTGGCGGCCAGCTGTCGGATGTGCGGCTGAGGGGGTCTGACAAGGAGTTTATTGTTGGAAACGGAGGGGATTTAGGGAAAGCAGGGAGGTCCGGGGCCAGCTGCTGCCTGGGCCCCAGCCTGCAGCCTCGGGAGGGCGGTCCCAGCTACAGGGAGCCAGGCTGCGGCAGCTCAGCCCACCCAGGCCCTGAAGAGTTTTAAAATAGCACATGGATAGACAGACTCCCCTTTTGAGAAATTCAAACACCGCTTCGGCCCAGCCTCCCGGGCCCTTCCCTGCCTTACTTTGGTCCTTAGCACTCAGCACCGTCTGGTGTACTGATGCCCCACCTGTGTCTTGTCTGTCGCCCCCCCAGGAGAATGTCAGATCCACACGGGCAGCCATCTTTGTCTCTCCCCCCCACCCCCCATGCATTCCTAGTGTCTAGCACAGTGTCTGGCACACAGTAGGTGCTTAATAACTATGTATGAAACAGGTGAATGAATGAGTTAGTAGTGAATGTAAATCCTTCACCTCTGTCTCAGGCCTTCTCATCCCCCCAGAGGTAACTGATCTTGTCTGTGAAATGGGCATTTCCAGATCTTATTCCGGTGGCTCTAAAAGGGGGGTGATTTTGCTCCCAGGCCACGTTTGGCGATGTCTGGTGGCACCTTGGTGGTCACCCCTGGGGGAGCGGTGCATCTAATAGGTGGAAGGCAGGGGCTCTGAGAAACAGTCTACAAAGCCCACGGCGGCCCCACGGCAGACCCTCCTGCTCCACATGCCCCGGGCGCTGGGCGAGGAAGCCCGGCTCCGTCTATGCGGCCACACGCACCTGCACAGACTTGTAGCAATGCAGGTTCCTGTGGTGTGTCTGGAAACAAATGGTATCGTGTTGAGTATATACACTCTGTGCCTGTTTTCCTCTCTCAGTCAGACATCTCGGAGCTTCCTCATGTCGGCGTAGCTGCCCTCCCATCCTCTTTATCAGCAGAGGGCATTCCGGAACAGGAACCAGCCACAGTTTGCTCAGCCAGTCCCGCCTGGCTGACTTGTAGATTGTCTCTGGATTTTTATTATTGCAAACATTGCTTCCATAAATATGTTTGGATGCTCGTTTACATGAGCCAATCATTTATTTTTCTGTGGGGTTTGTTTTTTATTAATCTCCACGTGAGGATATTTTCTCATTGATTTTTAGATAGTGTGGAAGAGAGAGGGAAGGACAGAGAGAAACATCGATGTGAGAGGAACATATCGATTGGTTGCCTCCTGCATGCTCCCCGACCAAGGCCCGGGCCTGGGAGGAGCCTGCAATCAAGGTGCATGCCCTTGACCGGAATCGAATCCGGGACCCTTTGGTCTGACGCTCTATCGCCTGAGCCAAACTGGCTAAGGGTATTTTTTGTTTTTATTTATTTATTTTTGCTTCAGCCAGGTAGAGCTAGGACTTTAGCTCTTGCCACAAAAGTACCTGGGAACTCTGAAGAGAGTCAAGTAAGATTCGCTCAAAGATCCTTTCAGCTCTGACAGCCCCTGAATCTGTAAGTGGACAGAACCTGGCAGGAGGAGGTGCCCTCTCTCCGAGGAGGCACGGAGCTCAGGGAGAGGCTTAGCAGAGACGGTGTGTGTGTGTGTGTGTGTGTGTGTGTGTGTGTGGTGTGTGTATGCGTGTGGTGTGTGTGTGTGTGTGGTGTGTGTGTGTGTGTGGTGTGTGTGTGTGTGTGTGTGTGGTGTGTGTGTGTGTGGTGTGTGTGTGTGTGTGTGGTGTGTGTGTATGTGTGTGTGTGTGTGGTGTGTGTGGTGTGTGTGTGTGTGGTGTGTGTGTGTGTGTGTGTGGTGTGTGTGGTGTGTGTGTGTGTGTGGTGTGTGTGTGTGTGTGTGGTGTGTGTGGTGTGTGTGTGTGTGTGTGTGGTGTGTGTGTGTGTGTGGTGTGTGTGGTGTGTGTGTGTGTGGTGTGTGTGGTGTGTGTGTGGTGTGTGTGTGTGTGGTGTGTGTGTGTGTGTGGTGTATGTGTGTGTGTGGTGTGTGTGTGTGTGTGTGTGTGGTGTGTGTGTGTGTGTGTGTGTGTGTGGTGGTGGGACAGAAGGAGGAAGGTCTAAAGGCAGGGGTGTGTGGGGCAGGCTTGGCCAACCCTGATAAGCCTCGCCAATGACAGTGACCTCAAGCACCAAGCCACATGCTAAGGCCTGGTCACTCCAGATGTGCTCGCAGACCAGCAGCTAAGCGTTGCCTGGAGGCATGCTGGGAAAGCAGAGGCTCAGCCCACCCCAGGCCCCCGGAGTGAACAAGACCCCCAGGTGTTTCCGACACACAGAATAGAAGGAGAAGAGCCAGTCTTGGTTTAGAAACACCCAGAAACACGTTCTTATCCTACAAGGGAGAAGAGTGGACCAAACCGCTGCTTCTCTCCGTTTTCATGCCTCTCAAATACCGGCCAACACTTCCCACGTTGTGGAAAAATGAAGAAGGAAGAGAAAATGCAAGCACACGCGAGTGCCTGAGCACACTCAGCCTTGTGATGTCACCTGCCAGCCAGGGATGCCTGACAGGCATGTTGTTCTTTGACGAGCGTTATTTCCTCCCCAAACACGTGTAAGGCGCTAGGACATTAATTCTCCCACCAAGATGTGCAAGCTCCACGGGTCATCCAAGCCCAGAGGTCAGAGGTCAGAGGTGACGCTTCCGACACTTAAAGAGCAGTCAGCAGTAACGCCGTTGGACAGGACGAGGGCCGGGAGAAGAACCCTCCGTGGGGGAGAGCCGAGGTCACCGTGCTCACACCGCCAGGACCGTGACTTTGCTCAGCTCGCAGAGGCCCCTCCATCCTCACTCCGCCGCCCGCAGCGGCTCGGAGTCAGGCCTCCGACAGCAGCCATCTGTGTAAACAAAGTATTTTTGAGTCTAGGAAAGAGGTTTCTTCTCTGGGCAAGATTTTTTTTTTTTTTTTTTTACTTGATTGTCCTCTCACCTCCAACTCCCATGCTTCAAAGGACAAAAGAAACGTAGCGTCTGATTCCACCTCTTCCTGAGAAAGCAAAACCGCTGTTGGATTCCAGGCCTCCCCGAGGGAGAGGACTGTGTCGCCACAGGGTCCCCATGGGACGGCTTCGGATGTCAGGCTGTGGAGACAGAGCTCCCGGCTCTCACTGCTTTCTCCTGCCCTCCGGCCTCTGGTCCCTGGGTTCTCTCTCTCTCCAAACCTCACTGACCCATCTCTAAGCTTCCATTGGCCCACACGGGAAGGAAGAGAGAGTTCACAGCATAAATATAGGGTGCCCCCCAAAATACATACGCACATCGAGTAATGATAAAGGCAGTGTTTACTAAAACATGTTTCATTCTCAAAATGTAATAGGATCTACAGACGTTGTGTGCACACATTTTGGGGGAGGGATAGCTTGTATTGAGCCTGAGGGTCTCGCTCTTTGGGGGCCTCAGTTTCTCCGCTGGAGGATTCGACTCAACGCTGCCTCTGGGACCAGAGATGCCTGGAGCAGGCTCTCACCCCCACAGCTAGGCCTCAGGCCCCTCCCCCAACTTCCCTGCCACTCCTCCTCCCGCCTCCTGGCAGGTGCTAGGCGCTAAGTCATGCTGCTGAAAAGTTCCAGGGAGGTCCGGCCCAGGGCCTTGGCTGCACTTGCTTTGGCCAAATCAATGTTTCCCCACCTTATCTCCAGCCAGCTTGCGCATAATGTTTAGACACTTGGCCTTACATGGAGGAATCTAGTGACTCAGAGAGAAAGCAGCTGCGGCCAGCTCCTGATCCTTGAACCCTCTGCCCGGCAGGGACACGCCCTTCCAGGCGGAGAAATGTACTTTCTCGCTGGAAGCTTCTCACGGAGGCAGGAGGGACTGGGCCCAGAGGGGAGAGACGGCCTCCCTAAAGCCACCCAGCCAGGCAGTGGCTGGCGGCATGAGCTGTGTCTGGGACGCCCACGTTGTGTGGTCCCCGTGGCAGGGCCGGAGACGGTGCTGAGCAGGACAAAGCAGGGAGCTGCCCTCGTGGGGATGTTGTCACGGCCGGAGAGTCCTGATCAGATTAAAGCTAACACGGAGCTCTTTTCATGTGCTTGTCACCATGTTAAGTGCTTTCTGTAATGGATTGATTGATTCCTCCTAGGAGCCCGATAAGATGGCCACTGTGGTTTTACAGTGCGGAGACCGAGGCACAGGAAGGCTGGGACACTTGTCCAAGGTGGCACAGACCTCTGAGACATCAGGTCCTGGTCCCTGGAACCAGCAATGTCACCGTATGTGGCAAAGTCTTTGCAGATGTGATCACATCAAGGATCTTGAGATGAGGAAGTTATCCCGTGGGGCCTAACGCCACCACGTGGAGGTGAGGGTGGGTGGGTGGGAAGAGATAAACCAAAGGACTTGTATGCATATATGCATAACACATGGACACAGACAATAGTATCGTGGTAGAGGGAGTGGGAGGAGCTAGAAGGGGTGACTGGGGAAATAGAGGACATGTGTAATACTTTCAACTTTAAATAAAGATGAAAAACAATTTTATATAATAAAAGGCTAATATGCAAATGAATGGCAGAACAACCGATCACTATGACGTGTGCTGACCAGCAGGGGCGTGTGTGGAAGATGATAGGCATTGGCCACAGCGGGGTGGTGAGCAGGTGAGCAGGGGCGCCAGACCAAGGTGGGCACTGTGGCGGGAGGGGCCGGGCAGGGGTGTGGAGGATGGGCCAAGACCTGTCCCTGTGTCTACCGCAGCCTCGAAGACCACAGTTCCTTTCAAGGTGCACGAATTCGTGCACTGGGCCCCTGGTTTAAAAAATGAAATAAAAGTAAATGCCACCACATGTATTCTTCCAAGAGGAAGACAGACACACAGAAGAGGAGGAGGTGACGTGAAGACAGAGCCAGGGATTGCAGAGATGTGGCAACAAACGGGAATGCTGGCAGCCTCCAGGCGGGGGGCGAGGCCAGGGAGGATGCTCCCTTAGAGCTCCCAAAGGGAGCGTGGCCCCACCAGCATCTCGCTTTTGGTCCAGCGAAACTGATGCTGACCTTCTGGCTCCAGAGCTTGTGAGACTAGGTTTGGCAGCCACAGGAAACCAACACAACAAGTAAATAAATGGTCAGGACAGGATTCAGACAGCCTATTAATCCTATTCATTTCCAGCTTTACAGATGTGCCTCACTTCTGTTCCCTTGGCTTGTGTCAGTCCTAGTCCCACAAGGTGGTCAGTGTGATCACTCAAAAGCAAACCCTTGCTTTCCCCCATTTTTCTGTTGGCTGGGAGGCAGGTGTGAAGGCAGGAGCTGGAGAGGCTGCCTTGTACCCAGAAACTGAAGCTGCGTCTTGGGAATGGCTGAGGCATCCCACAGCCCCGGATCGGTGACCTTTAGATTGTTACAGGAGAGACAGAAATAAACTTCAATGCTGTTAACAAGAATGGAAGGAAGGGAGGGAAAGAGTGAGGGGAAGGGGAAGGGAAAGGAACCTCATTATCTGAGTTCCTCCCAGAAACGCTTGCGTTCACAGGCTGCCTTCAGGTTCCTGGAGAATGAAATGGGCAGCACCACTGTTCTGTTAGCTTCCTTCTGTAGGGAGCCCTCACTTCCATCTGCCAGGAAAGCATTCGTCTCTATACAGGCTTATACACCGAGTGGCAGGTTACTATGATCTCTGAAAGTGGCCAGATTACTATGATCTTTGAATGCATAATAATCTGACCACTCAGTGTGTGTGTGTGTGTGTGTGTGTGTGTGTGTGTGTATAAATATATACATATATTTTAGTGGCCCGGTGCATGAATTCGTGCATGGGTGGAGTCCGGCCAGCCTGGCCATGGGGAGACGACATGGGCAGTTGGCCTGCCTGCCTGCTGGTCAAACTCCTGGTTGAGGGGACAATTTGCATATTAGCCTTTTATTATATAGGATATACACAGAGTGGCCAGATTATTATGCATTTAGAAATCATCATAATCTGGCCACTCAGTGTAGATAGCCTCTTTTTCTTTCTCCCCTCCGCCTTCTCTTTTTCTTTAAATATCAGGTGAACAGGCTGATGCAACTCAGTACATTTCCCTTCTTATCTTAGCTGCCAGGAAACCCAATTAAAAGTATCCGACTGTCATGATTGTCTCATCTAGGGTGCATGGTAACATCTGTGTCCAAGCTCCGCTGAGTCAGGGTTTACCACTTAGCACCGTTAGTTGTTCTGGGAGACTTTATGGAAGAGACCAAGGTCCAGATTCATCTCCCTCTCACACTTACCAGTTTCCCTGCCGTTACATCGGGATGCTCATTAGAGAGCAATGGAGCCCTAAGATTCATCCTGCATTCCACCGGCAGGAGGGAGTCTCAGGGCCAGTGCAAATTCAGAGCCTGTGAAATAAACTCACACTGCGAAGGGCTTGGGTCTGGGGAGTTCATTCATTAGAGGATCAAGGCAGTGAAACTACCTCCATCCCCACCTCCGCCTCTGTAAGCGGACAGGAGACCCAGGTCTAACCCACTGAGCATCCCATGTGGCTCTGGGATGAGGGAAGGGAATTGCATCTGACTTGACGAAGGCCAGCCTGAGTCAGCCTCAGACTTTCACCAAGACGACCAACACAGAGACTCTCCTTTTCCTGCGGCTGCCGAGCTGGCAGGAGGTCAGGGCTGCTGAGAGCCATCTTACACAACACAGGGAGGGGCGGCCTGCGGGGGAAGCCGGCACAGAGGAACACAGAGGTGAGAGATGGAGTGAAAGGAATCCGGACAACATCCTTGGAGTTCCTGGGTCCTGCTGTACCCGAAGCTGCATCCCTCCCAGCTCCTTGAAGCCAGGATTCTGCCCCTGGACTTGCCCAGCTAGCTCCAATAACTTTTTTTTAAAGACCCCATTTTTTAAGAGCCAATTTTAAGTTGAATTCCTACCACCAGCAACAATAAACATCTTAACTATTACTTGTAGTTGAATGGTTCTCATACCGAACACCTTGTCCTTGTAAGGGGACAAAGAGATAGAGATAGAGAGAGAGATAGAGATAGAGATAGAGATAGAGATAGAGATAGAGATAGAGATAGAGATAGAGAAAGAGATAGAGATAGTCTTTCCTTTCAGGATCAGAGACAAGGGTCACCTGGAGCAGAGGGGGTTCTGAATCTTGTCCCATTGCTGGGAATGGGAACACACGGTTGACAGGAACAGAGAAGAGGCAGGCTTCAAGGTGGGACATCCTTGATTTTTTACTGGAGTCTAGTGCCACCGGCATAGCTCGGAAGCTCCCAGCCCCTGGCTAGGGGCCTCACGCCTCCCCTGCCCTGTGGCTGTACGGATTGAAGGAGCTCACGTGCCTGCATGTGCTTAACGCGGAGGGAGCACTCACGTGGCATTTGGAGCCTCAGTCTTTCTCCTTGGAGCTCAGTTTCCCTCCGGCCAAGGTGGGGTGCCGGTAAATGCAGTCTCAGAGAGAAGCAGAGGAGGGAGGGAGACCCTTGTCCCTGCCATACCTGGTGAAGCTGCTCTTCCCTGAACAAAGCGTTTAAATGATGAGCCCGGCTTACGATTTTGTATTTCTTGCTACATGAAGCCCATGCAAAGATCAGACCATGCCCAGAGGACAGGCGCTGAGGGTTTGTTTGTTTGTTTTTTAATATATATTTTATTGTTTTTTTACAGAGAGGAAGGGAGAGGGATAGAGAGCCAGAAACATCGATGTGAGAGAACCATTGATCAGCTGCCTCCTGCACACCCCCCACTGGGGACGTGCCTACAACCAATGCACATGCCCCTGACCGGAATCGAACCCAGGACCCCTCAGTCTGCTGCCGATGCTCTATCCACTGAGCCAAACCGGTTTTTGGCAGGAGTTGAGCTTTTGAAGATATTTATTATATGCCAGACACTGGTTACATGTGTGTGTCCCCCCGTGCCCCTCAAGGGAAACTGAGGCCCAGAGAGGTTAAGTGACTTGCCTGAGGTCACACCGTAAGTGAATGACAGAGCCGGGATTTGAACCCAGACATTCTGGCTCCCGGAAATCCTCACTCCTAATCATGGTACTAGATGACCTCTCTGGGCTAGTTTTTCCTTGCGTAAAGGAGAGGACATTAGCAACCCTTCTGGTATCGATGTAAATAGGGCCTTGATTTTTGGTGTGTACAAGGAACTAGCCATCCTCAGGCTGCCTCCCACCAGGACATGTTTTCTTTGGTCCATGCAAGTGTTTTACATATTGGAAAAATCCCTCTCCCCTTCCCCCCGCTGCCACACACACACTTAGAAACACAGGGCTGGAGCTCAGGGCCGGGCTGGATCTG